TATCTATCTATCTATCTATCTATCTATCTATCTATCTATCTATCTATCTATCTATCTATCTATCTATCTATCTATCTATCTATCTATCTATCTACCTACCTACCTTCTGTGCAAAGTGTCTGAACAGAGAGCATGAGACAAATAAAGATAAATTAAAAAGTGAATCAAGCTACTTTAATACATGCCAGGAATAAAAAATATTAAGCAGATTATTTGCATAATAGGTCCATAACATTTTGTGGGATGATTTGATGTGGATTTAGTAACACATGCCAGCAGAAACTAGAGGAGCATCTCACCATGTAATATTTATAAAGGATACAGATCTGCAAAAAATCAAAGTCATGTATGAGCCCCCCCCCCCCACCTTTTTTTCCCAAGAATGCATTCAATCAGAAAAGGCTGGAGAGGATGAATGCTCGCTTTAGCTTCACAAGGTCACACAGCTACACACTTTTGCACTTAAAGGTGCCTGATTCAACCACCGAGCTCTGATGTTGGACACTGCGCAGTTCCACTGGAGCAGCTCGCTCAGTTCAATGAGTTCTGCTCGATGGCATTTTTACGTTCGCTATTGAAGGGTAGTAGTGTCTGCCATTGATTTCCTCCATCCACAGGTCCAGAAATACCACACCAACGAGCAGTGTTTAAGCTATTATTTTTCAGACTGATTCATCAAAGAATGACAAAGGGTCACTGTGTGCTTCTTTACAAATTAGTTCCAAATTCACTTTAGCTTTCTCTACCTTTTCTTTCGTGTATTGTCTGTCTTGTTTCAACAGTCTTTGTACTAAATGTCATCTTACACCTTGGGTGGCAGATGCCCTGCACAACGTGGAAATTAATCAGAGCAACAGCAATTATCTGATCTTAGGCCTGGTTTTAATTTAGCTTTAAAATGACATCAAGTATAGTTAGTGAATTCGGCTGCATAGAGAAAATACTCCCTAAAAGACAATAGCACTGTAATCACAAACCCAATCAGCGTGACATTAACATTCAACAAGCCATTATCACAAACACATTTGGTCATAAAATAGTGTTTGTAATAAACAGTGTGGGAAGTTTTTTGTGCTTGTGAAATAAAGTTTTCTTCACCTGCAGGGTGTGCCGCAGTCCTTGCCCAAATAAGATATTCATGTTCGTGCACATATTTGATTCCGAAACAAGACTCGAACACGCAAATTAGTTTCAAGGCTGCATTTTCCATTTGAGAAAACTGCAGTTGCATGACACAACTTTGCTATTAAAGCATTGCTTCTAAACAGGCAAGCAAATTGAGGAGAGACAGAACAGAAGAGCCACAAAGGTGGTTTCGTATCCATCGTGTCGCATTATTTTTAAAAAAGAGATGCTAAAAGCAAACTCAGCTGGATTCCAGCCAAATAGACTTCGGCATTTTCCACGCATGGTCAAACTATGCAGCTCTCCTTAATGCACCATTGATGTCATACCCATGTTTTTATGACAGCACATGTACATAGCAACATCAGGAGGAAGGAGCACAGGAAGACCTACTGAGGGCTTAGAGAGGAGCTGGAGAAGATGTGGAAGGTGGAGGCAACAGATTCAAGGACTGTGTCAAAGGTCTGTACTAAAGTTTGGACCCAAATGCAAACAAAAAAGTCTGTTTTTTCAAAAGTAAAAATTTATTAAACTCGATGGTCTGAATGAACAGACGGGTGCAAAAATCGAGCGTCCTTTCAGTGGAGAGAGTCCACCTAAAGAGAGGGAAAGGCGGATTAATTCAGGCCATATGAACACAAAGTAGGAGTAGGTATTTTTAGATGTGTGATTTAAATTGAATCGCTTAATTTGAGGAGCAAAAGTCAGTGGTTTAAGGGGGGAAGCAGCTAGTGAGTATCCGAAAGCGGAGTACTGGAAGTGAAAAATGTCCATCCTTTCCCTTTTTCCAGAGTACCGAGGAGTGGTGTGAGCAGGAGGACAGGCAGGTAAGTGCCCAGCAAGAAACAAGATGACCGAGTTGACCAGGGTCAGGAAACCAGGTAAACAACAGGTGAATAGTGGGTACTGATCCAAGAATGTGAATTACTGGAGACTGAAGGAAGCCTAGTGTTAACTTAAGGTGGAGAGTTGAATGAAGTATGAGCTAGTCCTATGTACTGGTTGGCGATTGCTGCTGATGCGAGGCAAAAGCGGGAAACCTGGAACTCTGCTCTGAAGGAAGGAACTTGGACTAAGGGATCGGGAAATAGACCACAAAACCATAACAACCATGATGAGTGCTATCTGAGATCTCTTTCCAGGAGAGTGCAATCCTAGGACAGGAACCTCAAGCTCGAAGGATAAAGAGTGCTCACAGAGCATCTATAAAACGCTGGTCTTCCTATTTGTATATGTGTGACATCATATTTTCGCTATCTGAACACTCCACCGGTGGAGCTTGGTTACATAATTACGGAAAATTACTGTGGAGTTTTAAAGTCGTTACTTTCTTTCCAAAAACACTTCGAATCAGATCAAGGCAGAAAATGAGGTTAACTCCTCTTTGAGCACCATCCAGTTTAAGCCAGATCTGTTTTCATCCAAACTCTCACAGTATATATATCCTTGGGAGTACAAGTGCTCCTCTTCTTTTGCATGCATATTCAAATAGAGAGGAAAAGAAAGAGGGTAAACAATTAAAGAGACACTGTGCATACTTCTGAATCTGGAGCACTACTCTGTTGAAAGAAGGGAATTAATGTAATACCATATCACACCCTGCTGTAGTACTCTACCGTCACACAGAAAGTGCTAAACTGCAGATGAACGCATGTTGGATTCTGCATAGTGCAAAGCATGTTTAAAGAATCGTATGTCCTTCACCCTTCTGGGACACAACATTATGCTAACAGGATGTCTAATCACAATTACGTCAGAATTAATGAACCTGTTATTTCATCGCAGAGTCACAGCGAGTGCTTCCTCTTGTATTGCTTTCATATTGCTTCCAATATTTTTCTAAATTAAAGTGTGGCTAAGCTGATTATGTCATGACAAACTGCCGCTCCTGGCTGCAGGTCATTAGCTTCACTGTCTAGGAGGTCACATGTGGGGTGTTTAAATTTTTTGTTGTTCAGAGTTCAATAGATGATTTAATTTGTTGCCTTGGAGAAAGAGTTAATTAGATAATGTCATCACCACAGTGCGATCCGCACTTTGGTGATGACTGATGCACTTAGCAGTCTTAAACTTAAATTCAGGTTATTATATTACTTTAAAATGTATAGACTCTCCAGACATTTTATTAGATACACCAGATTAGATCATTTTTGAGCTTCTCAACTTCCTTAAATCTTCTTGGTACAAATTCTGGAAACATTCAAAAGACAATTGGGTCCACGTTGACGCGACAGCATCATGCAGTTGTTACAAATTTCTCTGCTGCACATCCATTATGCAAATCTTCTGTTCCACCACATCCCAAAGGTGCTCTATTGTGTTGACTTTCAACTGTCGAGGTCGTCTAAGTACAGAGATCTCATTGTCATGTTTGCAAAGCCAGTTTGAGATGATTTAAGCTTTGTGACACGACACATCATGCATGTAAGCACGGGTATACAGTAGCCATAAATGGACGCACATCAGCAGCAGCAATACTCAGGTAGGCCGTAGCACTGAAGTGATGCGCAGCTGGTACTAAGTGGACTCAAGTGTGCAAAGAAGATATCTCCTATACCATTACACCACCTCCACCAGACTGAACTATTTATACAAAGCAGGAAGTATCCATGCTTTCATGTTGCTTCCACTAAATCCTGACCTCACCGTCCAAATATCACAGCAGAAAAAACAGCAGAAGCTAATAAGAGTGTCACGTGGTGTAGTCTTACCTTCACTCCCCATTCTAATGCTTAATTTAAACTTCTGTCCTGATCATGTCTAAATACCTAAATGCATTGAATTACTGTTTTATGATTGGTCAATTAGATATATGCGTTGAACAGGTGAGTGTATATAGGTAAAATTTGCATGTGTATTGATTTGAACCCATTACTAATCTCGCTAGAGCCTTAATTTCCCTGACATTACTAGTTATTCTTTTTCTCAGCGGGGTGACAGCCAATCATAATTAACATCTTAACTGAGCATTACATACTTAATAACAGCTTTGATTATCACCACCTGTGTGACCTATGTTGAATCAGCAGGTAGGAAGAAGTACAATAACAAATCTGTCAAGATGAAGGGAAGAATAGGGCACTTAAGAGCTAGTGAATATGGAGGATTAAACTATATATATATATATATTAGTTGGAGCAGTTGCTATAAATACGCAGTTAAATTCTGCCTGTTGAATAGATGTGTGTTTTTGTATAACGCAGTACTCTGTTCCACAGCCTGTTTGATGGCCATATGGGTACACAGAGAGGGGGTTCTGTTTCTGCTTCACCCAAAATGTGTCCAAAAAGAGAAGAAGAAGAAGAAAGAAAAAAGAGAGAAGTGAGTGATTCATCACATTCTGCTTCTTTGTTGGTACAAATGAAGGCAACGCTTTTGAAGTCACTTATGAGTTTGTAATTCCCAAACTGAGGGACAGTTTGAGTCGATTTTTTAACTGTTCAAACAGCAGTCTGAACAACTGACATGAAGAGAGAGCAAATACCAGCAAACCACATATAAAAAAGGTAGCCCCCAACAGCTATTGATGTCTTTGAACAAATTCTTAAAAGAAAAAAAAAAAACTATATTTTTTGAGCACAGCTGGCCCGAATATATCTGAGCAGCAGTCCAGTTGCAGTGTTACTACCTGGATGTGTCGGTGTAATTTCCAGGTGAGAGAAACCTCACCATACAAATGGACAAACCTTTGGGCGGCCTTGTGACTTTCCCGTATCTTCTTCAATATTTGACGAGGTCAACATTTTCTTTTTGTTTCACGGTCAATAAGGCATCAAAATATCAGACAACATTTTACTCCAACGTCGTCTAGCTAACGCAGCTTCCGTCTCGAGGCGCTGTCAGTTCTTGGGGAGCTTTTATGCTACAGATCAAAGCATTGCAAAGCTTCTGTTTTTACCTGACTGCATAAAAGATCAAGGCATATAATGAGGCAGCCTGAAAGGTGATAGTTCAGAAGATGAAAGTATTGGCTGCTTTGGGTATGTCAAAGAGATGCATACCATTCTGAAATGTTACCGCCGCATTCTTCCGTTGCTATAATGATCACGATTATGATTAATTGCATAATATGCACTTGATCTCTGCTCACCTTCATTACATTATCTAATACCTACATGTGCCACCTTATGTGGGATATTTTCAGTGTGTGTGTTCCTAATATGCTGCATATAAAATGATTTTTATGTTTGTTAGGTGATATCATCATCTTTAAATAGTCGTCAGTGCACGGTTATAGCTATCGGCTCTCTGAAAGGTTGTGTTGAAGGTGTGTAGGTGGGGATGTTCTTGCCATGTATGGAGTCAAAAAGTTTCCAATACTGAGAAGAAAAAGAAGAAGAAGAAATAACTGAATATTGCAAAATTTTACTTTTAATAGAGTTTTTTTCCTTTTTGTTTTCAAACTATTCCCCCCCCCAAAAGATTAATTATTTAATTGAAGCTTTTTTAAAAATGTATTTTTTGCTTTGTTTACAAGGTCATTTTACCTACATGCTTGTGTTAAAAAAAAAAGTCATGAAAAATTAGGAAAAATTTGCATTGAATTTTTCATATTTGGCAACGGATTGCAAGCAGTTGCATTTACCAACTGGACTGCCAGAGTTTAAACATGCAGTGGCTTCAACCTTTTGATGAAGGCATTGCATACGTTACCTCTGAGTGGAGGCAATCTGTCTACAATCGCACTCCAATTTAGACTGACTGTATGTGTGCAAATACATGCCGTAGGTTCTTGGGTATAAATTAATCAATAAGTAAATACATTTTTAATTCAAGTGTACCAAAGGCAGCTCTGAATAACTTAAATTTAACTTAGAACTAACATCAGTATGAGACAGACAAAAATCTTGGCTGAAGAATCTCAAAGTCTACAAGTTACCAGCTAGTTAGGTAGCAAAGGGTGCCTTGGTAGATAAATGGTTTAATACCGACTCGATGTACTATTATTATTTAGCTGCAAAACTCATTCAATATACGTGTAAAATACTGACGCATGTGGCAAATCGTCGGTGTGTTACCTGTTCGGAGGCATCAGAGCCGGTTGGATGAATGTATACATGTTAATGCGTTTCACGCTCTGATCATGAATCACTTTGGAAAACATGGTTTCATGGTTAAGGTTATGGTTAGGGCTGGAATGGACGGCTGGAGCCTCTGCTCTAAGCGTGTGTTAGTGGCATGCTATTGGATTCAACTGAGAACCGCGTAACTATGAGACGCCTTAGGTTGAGACAAATCGTCTGTATGTTACGCGTTGGGAATGAGAATGCTCTGGTCAAGAAATCATTAATCCCAAGCTGCTATTAGCACTATTAGCTATTCATAATAAAGTTTATATGTGTATGTATACATGCAGAGATATATGTATGTATTTGCGCATGTGCTTTTATTTTTTCTGTTTTAGTTGTTTACAATGAGAGCCACGAAGTCTGACTGCGAATTACTTTGATATTATGTTCAGGTAAAAGGACTTTACCAGGTGTTTAAGTTGCTAGCATATATAAGAAAGAGGGTTGCTAGTTAAGCAAATGTTGATAACAATGCTCTTGTACAAAGAGACTGTGAAATAAAACAGGCTTTGGCAAGAGGTGAAAATCCTGGAAAAAAACAATTAACTAATGACAGTGTTATAAATTGTTAAATGATAATAGGATGGTATAAAACACAAAAACAAAATCAAAACGTAATCAGATAACCTCCATAATTAGAGTCATATAGCATGTTACTGTTGCTGAGCTAATCTAGTTATTATCGCTGATCCCTGGAAGCGATAATGACACGGGACACTATAATCTGTCAGGCACCTCACAGCAATTTAATTCTAATGGGTCATCAATACAGTAAACAAAATAAATCTGTAGGCTACTGTTAGTCGTGCAAAGTGAAGGAAGACAGCCAACGAGATCGTAGCACTTCATTTTCACTTAAACCCCTGTGGCTGGGTGGTTTGGGAACTATTTAAACGTTCCCCCAAGCACCATAAAGTTGTCACTCTAAAGTCAAATACGACATGAAACCATTGAGAAGATGTTTTGTGAGCAACTGATTTTCCAAACGTCCTCCATTTAGTTCAATCAAAGTACATAAATGCATGTTTTATCCGCCATTGCCTCTGGGATTACAAAATGAAAACTGATAATGTCAAGTACAGTAGACAAAACAGAAGGTGGTCACAACAAATATAATAGAAAGTTTTAAAAAAGGTGTTTGTGCTGCTACATCTATAAATCTCAGAGACTTACAGGTCAGTCAGTGACCTCTCCTTGTGTTTGAGAACAATGATTAAAAATCCCGCAATTATCCGTGTGGTTTGAAACCCAGCAGGGTTCTAATTTGAATCTAATAATGCTCGCACCCCTATGACTAATTCTGTGAAGGACGCAGCAACACACTCAAAATTTACATTACTGCCAAGAGTCTAAGCACCCACATTGCTTCTTCAGGGTGTTGGAAAAGAATAGCTCAATTGAGGAGGGCCATCTGGAGGAGGCATTACAGTTAAGACCATACCAATAACAATAGACCATACCAATATGATGTAATGTCAGAGACTGTCT